ATACCTGGTTTTGACAGGTACACACCAATACCCACTCCCACTTCCGGCTCAGTTCGCCACAGTGAAGTGAGCCGGAAGTTCGGCCCCCTCCTTCCTCCCGCAGTCTCCTGGGAGCCTGCACATGTCCCAGAAGACTTCCCGGACCAATCAGGATGCGCAGCATGACTCGCGCATGCGCATGCGCAGTGAGCACCCGCATGTGAAGTCGCAAGCTATCACAGCCTTGTGCCCACAGCTGAGATGCCAGCGCATGGAGAGAAGGGACGATGCGGGTGAAAACATCGCTGGACCCCGGGACAGGTGAATGTGTGTTTATTAAAAGTCAGCAGCTACAGTTTTTTGTAGCTGCTGACTTTTAATCAACACAAAAAACGGCTAGAACTCCACTTTAACCTCTTGGCGCCCGGCCGCACGTAAATGTGGGGCCACCCAGTGTTTTTCTTTGTATCCCGAACAATTCTTCTGACAGTTGTGGCTGCAAACCTCGGTCTACCTGACATTGGCTTGGTATCAAGAGACCCAAATTTTCCAATTCTTAATATGTTATTGAACAGTACTGATTGGCATATTCTAGGCATTGGGTGTCTTTTTATAAAGTTCCATTACCTTGTTACACAGGTCTTTTGACAGTTCTTTTCTGCTCCCCATGGCTCAGTATCTAGCCTGCTCAGTGCATGCACATCTCTTAGATTGTAAGCTCCAAGGATCTGGGCCCTCCTATCCCTCTTGTATTGAACTGTATTGTTGCTGTATTGTCTCCCTTATATTGTACAGCACTGAGCAAACTGTTGGAGCTATATAAATCCTGTATAATAATAATATATAAATCCTGTATAATAATAATATATAAATCCTGTATAATAATAAATATAAATCCTGTATAATAATAATATATAAATCCTGTATAATAATAATAATATATAAATCCTGTATAATAATAATAATATATAAATCCTGTATAATAATAATAATCTATAAATCCTGTATAATAATAATAATATAAATCCTGTATAATAATAATAATCTATCCTGTATAATAATAATATATAAATCCTGTATAATAATAATAATCTATAAATCCTGTATAATAATAATAATCTATAAATCCTGTATAATAATAATATATAAAATCCTGTATAATAATAATATATAAATCCTGTATAATAATAATAATATTAAATCCTGTATAATAATAATAATATATAAATCCTGTATAATAATAATAATATTATAAATCCTGTATAATAATAATAATCTATAAATCCTGTATAATAATAAAAATATAAATCCTGTATAATAATAATAATCTATATAATCCTGTATAATAATAATAATATAAATCCTGTATAATAATAATAATATATAATCCTGTATAATTTTAATAATAATCTATAAATCCTGTATAATAATAATAATATATTTTTTTCCTGTATAATAATAATAATTTTTGCTATAAATCCTGTATAATAATAATAATCTATAAATCCTGTAATAATAATAATAATATATAAAATCCTGTATAATAATAATAATATATAAATCCTGTATAATAATAATAATCTATAAATCCTGTATAATAATAATTATATAAATCCTGTATAATAATAATAATATATAAATCCTGTATAATAATAATAATATATAAAAATCCTGTATAATAATAATAATATATAAATCCTGTATAATAATAATAATCTATAAATCCTGTATAATAATAATAATAATATAAATCCTGTATAATAATAATCATATAAATCCTGTATAATAATAATAATATATAAATCCTGTATAATAATAATAATATATAAATCCTGTATAATAATAATAATATATAAATCCTGTATAATAATAATATATAAATCTTGTATAATAATAATAATATATAAATCCTGTATAATAATAATAATATATAAATCCTGTATAATAATAATATATAAATCCTGTATAATAATAATATATAAATCCTGTATAATAATAATATATAAAATCCTGTATAATAATAATAATAATAATAATAAAAGCTAAACAAACTCATTGACTATTTATACACTGAAACTAATTGCAATTTAACCAACTCCCGCCCACCATATAGTAATATGACGGACACAAGGTGGTTCTCTCGTTCTGGGAGGAGGTCATATGACGTCCTCGCGGTGATCGGCGGTGCGCTGTGTCCCTCAGCCATGTATCAGTGCTGCCTTTCAGTGCCCATCAGTGATGCCTGTCAATGCCCATCAGTGCCACCTAACAGTGCCTCCTCATCAGTGCCTATCAGCGCTACCTATCAGTGTCCATCAGTGCAGCCTATCAGTGCCCATAACTGCAGCCTCATTAGCGCACATCAGTGAATGAGAAAAATCACTTATTTACAAAATTTTATAACAAAAACTAAGAAAAAACTTTTCTTTTTTTTTTTCAAAATTTTCAGTGGTTTTTGGTTTAGGAAAAAATAAAAAAACCAGAAGTGATTAAATACCACCAAAATAAAGCTCTGTCAGTCACAAAAACAAAGGATAAAAATGTCATATGGGTACAGTGTTGCATGACCGCGCAACTGTCACTCAAAGTGCGACAGCTCTGAAAGCTGGAAATCGGCCTGGGCAGGAAGGGGGTATAAGTGCCCGGTAGGCGAGGGGTTAAATAAAAGACAGTTTTTTTTTTTTTTCATAATCGATCAGATTTTCAATCTCAATGCCAACATTTCACAATTTCTGCCAGGGGATGCAAACTGTTGAGCACAACTGCAGAGGGCACAGGAGACAGAACTCTCCGGAGATGTAAACGGTCAGTAATTAAACATTTAGTTATGCATCAACTCTTTAGTTGTACTCTTTAGCTCTGTAATAGGCAGGTTTTGGCTCGCTCTTATACTCAGTAGTGAGGTTACCGTTTTGAAAGGTTATTATGTCCCGTAAAGATTAACTTGTGTGCCTCGCTCTCCGGTGAACTGTCAGCAATGTCAGAAAATCCACCAAATGAGGATATTATTATTACTACCTGCAGACTCCGATCTCTTAACTACTCACACCGAGGTGCCTCCACCACCGAGAACTGAATTTCCCCAACTTTGTGGAGACGTCTCGCTTCATGTGGAGACTCTAGGACAGGAAGTGAACGGAAATCGCCCCAACAAGGCACAGTCAGCAAAAACGTGGGTTGTAATCACTCTTAGATTGTAAGCTCCCAGGATCAGGACCCTCCTAACCCTCTTGTATTGAACTGTATTGTTACTGTATTGTCTCCCGTTATATTGTAAAGCGCTGAGCAAACTGTTGGTGCTATATAACTCCTGTATAATAATAATAATATATAAATCCTATAATATAATATATAATAATAATATATAAATCCTGTATAATATAATAATATAAATCCTGTATATAAAATCCTGTATAATAATAATAATATATAAATCCTGTATAATAATAATAATATATAAATCCTGTATAATAATAATATATAAATCCTGTATAATAATAATATATAAATCCTGTATAATAATAAATAATATATAAATCCTGTATAATAATAATATATAAATATAAATCCTGTATAATAATAAGAATATATAAATCCTGTATAATAATAATATATAAATCCTGTATAATAATAATAATATATAAATCCTGTATAATAATAATAATATATAAATCCTGTATAATAATAATATATAAATCCTGTATAATAATAATAATATATAATAATATAAATCCTGTATAATAATAATAATATATAAATCCTGTATAATAATAATAATATATAATCCTGTATAATAATAATAATATATAAATCCTGTATAATAATAATAAATATATAAATCCTGTATAATAATAATAATAATATATAAATCCTGTATATAAATAATAATATATAAAAATCCTGTATAATAATAATAATATATAAATCCTATATATAATAATATATAAATCCTGTATAATAATAATAATAATATATAAATCCTGTATAATAATAATATATAAATCCTGTATAATAATAATAATATATATAAATCCTGTATAATAATAATATATAAATCCTATATAATAATATATAAATCCTGTATAATAATAATAATATATAAATCCTGTATAATAATAATATATAAAATCCTGTATAATAATAATAATATATAAATCCTGTATAATAATAATAATATATAAATCCTGTATAATAATAATAATATATAAATCCTGTATAATAATAATAATAATATATAAATCCCCATACATCACCATATCTGCCAAAAATTCCTGACTCGCAGATGGGATCAACATATCTTGCGAAAAAGTGACCATGTGTTCCCATGAAAAAAGTGCTGATAAGAAAATAGTAAGACAAACCAAACCCTACATGTTCACTCATAGAGCTTCGTCAGAAGTAATATAAAGTCAATAAAAGTAAGCAACCAAAATCATCAAGTATCCTCCAGGTCACACTACAAGATATGTTGATCCCATCAGCCAGTCAGGAATTGTTGGCAGATATGGTGACGTCTGGGGCTCGTCTAATAGTGGTGTAAGAGTTTTTGGTGCACTTTAAGACGCGCCAAAAGTGCAGCATGCAGAATTTTTTAAAAAATGTACAGCACCTGCAACACAGTGGTGTGAAGAGTTCCATAGGATTTAAAGGGATACATTTTTCATGCATTTTTGTTCTGCTTTTTAAAACAACAAAAGTACATCAAAAAACTGATTACTGTGAAAGGACCCTAAGAAGAAAAAAAAAAACCCCAAACAAGAAAAAATAAAAGCCAAGAAAACAGAAGAAAGCAGGTAAGTTTTTTCTTTTTTTTTTCATTCAAACATTTTAATTCTAATTAGCCAGGAGACTGGAGTACTTTTGGCCTGGATTTCTCCAGATTCAGAATCAGGACACCAGCCCCAAAGGTGACAGAGGATGTGTAGTACTGAGAATGCCTTGTCTGTTGGCATTCTGCAAAATCCTCACATTTTTTGTCATTGAGCGATAATGCTGAAGTCCTTGCACTGTCTATATCTTACCTTCCATCTGCAGTCATTCTAATAAGAGCCACTTCTGCTGGTGTCCCCACAAAGGCTCCAGTGGCCCCCGCCGTCATCCCAATAGCAGCTTTCATGAAGAAGTTAGGTGGTGTGCCATCCTCCTTCGTCAGCTTCTCAAACAAGATGGTGTAAATACCAAGACGCGTGGTGGTATAGGTGGCCTGGCGCAGAAGACCAGCCGATAACCTGTGAGATACAGAACATGCAGTAATTGTAGAGGAGGGTACAGATTCCTGGATGGAGAGGGGGGCTATGAGTCTGTGCTCCTCCTGCAGGGTACAGACAGAAGGGGGCTACGAGTCTGTCCTCCTCCTGCAAGGTGATACAGACAGAAGGGGGCTATGAGTCTGTCCTCCTCCTGCAGGGTGATACAGACAGAAGGGAGCTAGGACTGTCCTCCTCCTGCAGGGTGATACAGACAGAAGGGGGCTATGAGTCTGTCCTCCTCCTGCAGGGTGATACAGACCGAAGGGGGCTATGAGTCTGTCCTCCTCCTGCAGGGTGATACAGACAGAAGGGGGCTATGAGTCTGTCCTCCTCCTGCAGGGTGATACAGACAGAAGGGGGCTATGAGTCTGTCCTCCTCCTGCAGGGTGATACAGACAGAAGGGGGCTATGAGTCTGTCCTCCTCCTGCAGGGTGATACAGACAGAAGGGAGCTAGGACTGTCCTCCTCCTGCAGGGTGATACAGACAGAAGGGGGCTATGAGTCTGTCCTCCTCCTGCAGGGTGATACAGACCGAAGGGGGCTATGAGTCTGTCCTCCTCCTGCAGGGTGATACAGACAGAAGGGGGCTATGAGTCTGTCCTCCTCCTGCAGGGTGATACAGACAGAAGGGGGCTATGAGTCTGTCCTCCTCCTGCAGGGTGATACAGACAGAAGGGGGCTATGAGTCTGTCCTCCTCCTGCAGGGTGACTCATTAAGAACACAGACAGTCAATCCTCACCCTGTGTAGATGCCTCTCACTCCTTCCTTTTTCAGGATGCTGCCAACAGCATGGAAACTGGTTTTGTATTCCTTGGTTTTGGCTCCTTCTCCACTGAGCTGCATCCGATTTTTCACCAGATCCAATGGCTGTACGAAGACTGTGGCCCCCATCCTTAAAGGAAAGACAACATATATTCATAAATGTTCGCTGAAAAAAGCTATAAAGTACAATTCCCAATTTTCTGAATAAAAAGAATTTAAAAGAACCTTTGAATGGAACAAAATGAAATATAACATTGTCCTCTAAACTGATGTGCAGTCTGGCGAGCCGTAAATGAGGGCCCAGTAACACCCCGAGATTTAAAGCAGTCTTTTTCTATGACGGTTCTTCTGGGTGCATGACCCATATCCTCTGATCTACAGTGAGGGCGTGCGACGCCCGTCCTCTAATGTACCCTAGTGACCCATATCCTCTGATCTACAGTGAGGGGGCGTGTGACGCCCATCCTCTAATGTACCCTAGTGACCCCCATCCTCTGATCTACAGTGAGGGTGTGTGACGCCCGTCCTCTAATGTACCCTAGTGACCCATATCCTCTGATCTACAGTGAGGGCGTGTGACGCCCATCCTCTAATGTACCCTAGTGACCCCCATCCTCTGATCTACAGTGAGGGTGTGTGACTCCCGTCCTCTAATGTACCCGAGTGACCCATATCCTCTGATCTACAGTGAGGGCGTGTGACGCCCATCCTCTAATGTACCCTAGTGACCCCCATCCTCTGATCTACAGTGAGGGCGTGTGACGCCCATCCTCTAATGTACCCGAGTGACCCAGATCCTCTGATCTACAGTGAGGGCGTGCGACGCCCGTCCTTAATGTACCCGAGTGACCCATATCCTCTGATCTACAGTAGGGTGTGCGACGCCCGTCCTTTAATGTACCCGAGTGACCCAGATCCTCTGATCTACAGTGAGGGCGTGCGACGCCCATCTCTAATGTACCCGAGTGACCCATATCCTCTGATCTACAGTGAGGGTGTGTGACGCCCATCCTCTAATGTACCCGAGTGACCCATATCCTCTGATCTACAGTGAGGGCGTGTGACGCCCGTCCTCGAACGTACACAAATGACCCATATCCTCTGATCTACAGTGAAGGCGTGTGACGCCCGTCCTCTAATGTACCCTAGTGACCCATATCCTCTGATCTACAGTGAAGGCGTGACGCCCGTCCTCTAATGTAATCTAGTGACCCATATCCTCTGATCTACAGTGAAGGCGTGACGCCCGTCCTCTAATGTACTCTAGTGACCCACATCCTCTGATCTACAGTGAGGGCGTGTGACGCCCGTCCTCGAACGTACATGAATGACCCACATCCTCTGATCTACAGTGAGGGCGTGTGATGCCCGTCCTCGAACGTACATGAATGACCCATATCCTCTGATCTACAGTGAGGGCGTGTGACGCCCGTCCTCGAACGTACATGAATGACCCACATCCTCTGATCTACAGTGAGGGCGTGTGACGCCCGTCCTCGAACGTACATGAATGACCCACATCCTCTGATCTACAGTGAGGGCGTGTGACGCCCGTCCTCGAACGTACATGAATGACCCACATCCTCTGATCTACAGTGAGGGCGTGTGATGCCCGTCCTCTAATATACCCGAGTGACCCTCATCCTCTGATCTACAACAGGTGCATGACCAGTGTCCTCTGACCTACAGCCTGAATAGCAGCAATGGTCACCAACCCAGCAGGTTTGCCATCAATCATTAACTGTATACCATTAAATTCACAGAACTTCACTCATGTATTTTGAACTAGTTGTAAAATTCCAGACGAAACTTTGTTGCCTACACTTAGATGATGTAGAGAAAAGATAGAGGCTACCAAGTTAAAACAAAAACCCAAACAGGAGAAAAGGAGGTGAGAATAAATCTTCCAGTTGGGGACAACTGTTCCGGTGACAACAGGGGAAGTTCCTTAACTATTAGAGGGTTGTAATCTTTGCCTAAGGCATCTAAAAATAAAAATGAACCCAAGATGTAATATATTGCAGCTTACCATGATGTGGTGGCTGCATTAGTTTTCCCCCCTTTATAGTAACCTGGTGATCCTGCCAGCAGTACACTTCCTGTCCTAGTGTGACACCATTCGCCCACCACATCTATGGAAATGCAGCGTTGTCTCTCTGAACAGGTAGTGTGTCGGTTAACCACTTCCCGTCTGACCCATGTATATAAACGGCCGGACAGGAGCAATGCAGGGGCGGGTGGCTGTTTATAAACGACCTCCCCCACCCTCTGCTGGGAGCGTGCAGCACCGCGATCCGGTGCCCGCTGTGTCCTCCGGACACAGTGGAACACCGATCATTGTACGGGACCTCTGTGCGAGGTCCCGATCATGTGATCACTGATTGGCCAATCAGTGATCACATGAAGAGTAGTAACCAAGATTTCACTTCTGACATCATTGCTTACTACGTGCGAAATCTGTGAATGATCGCAGAGATCACATGGTACAAGGATATTCACAACAGCCAGGTACCATGTGACAAGCTGTGACCAATCACAGCTCACAGTATTTCTCAATGGCTCTAAGAATGCAGCCAGACAGAAGGAGAAATGATTGATTTTATAGCCTTTATAGGTGTAAAAGCAATCAGTGTAAAAAAAAAAAAAAAAAAAAATCTTCATAACCCCCAAGTAGTATAGTGTGTCACTATGGTGACACTGTACTGCTAGGGTGCCAGTTTGTAAAAAAAAAAAAAAAAAAAAAAAATTAATAATATAAAAAAAAATGTAAAAAATTTTTTTGTAAAAACTATGATTTTTGGTTATAAACTAATTTGGGTTATTTTTTTAACTAAAAAGATAACTGAATAAATTTTGGCCAAGATTTATGAAGAAACATTATTTATTTGCAAAATTTTATAATAAAAACCCTTTTTTCAAAATTTTTGGACTTTTTCATTTATATAGCAAACAAATAAAAATCCCAGTGGTGAATAAATACCACCAAAATAAAAGTTTTATCCGTCTCAAAAAAATGCAAAAAAATTCATATGGGTACAGTGTTGCATGACCGCGCAATTGTCATTCAAAGTGTGATAGCGCTGAAAGCTGAAAATTGCCCTGGACTGGAAGGGGGGGAAAGTGTCCGGACTGGAAGGGGGGGAAAGTGTCCGGACTGGAAGGGGGGGAAAGTGTGTCCGGACTGGAAGGGGGGGAAAGTGTCCGGACTGGAAGGGGGGGAAAGTGTCCGGACTGGAAGGGGGGAAAGTGTCCGGACTGGAAGGGGGGGAAAGTGTCCGGACTGGAAGGGGGGGAAAAGTGTCCGGACTGGAAGGGGGGGAAAGTGTCCGGACTGGAAGGGGGGGAAAGTGTCCGGACTGGAAGGGGGGGAAAGTGTCCGGACTGGAAGGGGGGGAAAAAGTGTCCGGACTGGAAGGGGGGGAAAAGTGTCCGGACTGGAAGGGGGGGGAAAGTGTCCGGACTGGAAGGGGGGGAAAGTGTCCGGACTGGAAGGGGGGGAAAGTGTCCGGACTGGAAGGGGGGGAAAGTGTCCGGACTGGAAGGGGGGGAAAGTGTCCGGACTGGAAGGGGGGGGAAAGTGTCCGGACTGGAAGGGGGGGAAAGTGTCCGGACTGGAAGGGGGGGAAAGTGTCCGGACTGGAAGGGGGGGAAAGTGTCCGGACTGGAAGGGGGGGAAAGTGTCCGGACCTGGAAGGGGGGGAAAGTGTCCGGACTGGAAGGGGGGGAAAGTGTCCGGACTGGAAGGGGGGGAAAGTGTCCGGACTGGAAGGGGGGGAAAGTGTCCGGACTGGAAGGGGGGGAAAGTGTCCGGACTGGAAGGGGGGGAAAGTGTCCGGACTGGAAGGGGGGGAAAGTGTCCGGACTGGAAGGGGGGGAAAGTGTCCGGACTGGAAGGGGGGGAAAGTGGGACTGGAAAAAGTGTCCGGACCTGGAAGGGGGGGAAAGTGTCCGGACTGGAAGGGGGGAAAGTGTCCGGACTGGAAGGGGGGGAAAGTGTCCGGACTGGAAGGGGGGGAAAGTGTCCGGACTGGAAGGGGGGGAAAGTGTCCGGACTGGAAGGGGGGGAAAGTGTCCGGACTGGAAGGGGGGGAAAGTGTCCGGACTGGAAGGGGGGAAAGTGTCCGGACTGGAAGGGGGGGGAAAGTGTCCGGACTGGAAGGGGGGGAAAGTGTCCGGACTGGAAGGGGGGAAAAGTGTCCGGACTGGAAGGGGGGGAAAGTGTCCGGACTGGAAGTGGTTAAAGACAAGAAATCATCAACACTCCAATTAAATTCTCCCATATTAGTACAACCTCACATAAGCTGATGTTTTCATAGCATTCCTACCTCAAGACGACAGTCAAGGATGGGACCCTACAAGGCCTGAAATTGTCAACAGATGTTCCACAAATAATTATGGGAGATTTTCAATAGAGTGCTGATGACTACTTTTCCTTTTACCTTGTTTTTCCATGATACCATCTGTTGTAGTAACAACAAGCCCCCTCCTGCTATATTGGTTGGTGCAAGGACTGCAGCTCAGATCTGCTTTGTTAGGACTACAAAACACCTCCCTACCTTATGAAAGATGCGTTCTGTAGACCAGAGAGATAGAAATAATGGGAATATGGATAACAGTCCAGGAAGCTATCAGGACAAGCTTTTTGGAAGAAGAATTTGTAGTTTTTTTTGCACATATTGGACGAATACAACAAAAAGCATCCAATGGTACAGATCAAAAGGGGTTCATTGTTCAGGTTTGCATAAGATTTTCTTTATCTTGGAGGTGAAAAAGGCGACACGTGGACAATTTTCGGCAAACGGCTATAAGGTTAGAGTCCAGGACCTAGAGGAATTTTAGGAGACTTTGCTTCATTTGCCAATTAGAATCCAACAGCCTTTTACTGGATTGTTCATCAAACCGGTTCTCAAATTATCAATAGTTCTCTGTTCTACTGCCAAAACGACAAGGTCTTCATTACGGCACTGTACAATATTCCTCTGAGAGGCTCTTTGTTCAGCGCTCTGGACATTGGCCTGTGAAGTCTGGCTGACTTCCAGTAAGGACAAATTTTACGACCTTCATACTAAGGTCATCTGCCTCTTTTGTTAGAGAAGAGGAACACAAAAGGCCGTACAGAGGCCCATCACA